TCTGATTTCCAGTGGAGTGGATCCTGGGGGCAGGGGGAGGGCATTGAAAAAGTCAAGATGGTGGCCGTGACTGTGTGATGAAGCCTACCCATTTTCTGGTAGGGTGTCACACATGGACTGCACACAGAGGCTTCCATCGCATAGCTTCGGCCACCATTTTGACTTTTTCAACCCTCTCCTTTAGATGCCCCTGTAGGACATCAGTGATTTATTACTAAGCTTGTGTATAAAAGACTTTGCCATTTACAAGGCATGGATCTTAACCTAAATACAATCATATTTACCTTCTGAGTTTGGGAGAAAATGTTACTGTGCTGCAGTGAGTTTCTTCTCATCAGTTGAGGGCAGATGCAATCACTACGCAAAAGAAATATGCTACTCAAGAACCCACCTCTGATCAAAATTAATGTTTGTGATTAGACTCTTTTCCTTTTGCTCTGTCAAACTGCTGTTCAGGACAGTGGGGTGAAAAATCAATATGTTGAAATCCATACTTTCTCCCGTGAAGTGGCTGAAGGATAGGAAGGAACAGAAATGGGGATCCACAGAGGAGGATCAGATGGGATTGTGGTGGCTGAGAAGGACGTGGTCTAAAATATTGCATTGATAAGGCCTTCCAGCAGGATTGACTATAGATTGAGTAAAAACAGAGGTACTGGAATCTCAGAAAGATGTCCTTTTATGTTAAGGTACGATCTGGCTAGGTTTAAATCTGGAGTAGCTAGAACTGGACAGATGACTCTTCATCTTAGGGTTTTCCTTCCTAACTTTTTCTAGAATGGGATGTGCAACTCAAAAGTGATGAATTTTATTTGTTTTAATTTTCTTGATTACATTTTTACACCGCCTGACTCCCAGCAACCCTGGGCAGTTCAACGTTATTGTTTGCCATGAAAAATACAGATCTCCGAAGGGTTTCCTTTTTTTCTTTAACTGTTGCCCATCATCTTCCGCTACGTTGCTGCACATTTGTGGTTTGTTAGTGCTGTGATTGCATTACTGATTCTTCCCATTTCATGTTGTTTTGTCGTGGACTCTTGCCTGTTATGTGTAAAATTCAGTGTTATGTTAATACTTGCAGGAACAATATATTATGCACATTTTTCCATCTTTGACCTCTGGAGTTCTCTTTGCTTCAGATTCTTCTTTGTGGAAGTGGAATCTGAAGCAAAGAACTCATGGTTGGTTTGTCTTCCCGTTCCATGTTTGACCTTTTCCATTTTCCGTTTTAGCTCTACCTGTTCTTTTTAAGCAAGAACTGCAGAACAGGGAAACAAAGGAAGGGGATAAGGTCCATCTTACCTGTGAACTTAACAAACCAGATCTGCCCGTGCAGTGGATGAAGGGAAATGTAGTTCTGGAAGCGGGTGACAAATATGAATTCAAGCAGCGTGGTCCTGTGGCCGAGCTTGTCATTCGGAATGCTAAACCATCGGATGCGGGGGTGTATATTTGCAAAAGTGGAGAGCTAAAGACCTCTGCACAGGTAGAGGTGACAGGTAGGAGACCTTTGATAGCGTTTGCCAGTATTGAAAGTGGTTCTGGACATAACGGTCTTTTGAAATTCTCCATCCCAGGGATGGATAGGAAAATTGGGTGGATAATTTCAGTGTCTCCAGGGGAAAAAGAACTCCACATTTTTCTCAAAAGCAGGTCTCTCCTTTAGCAGAGGAAGTAGCACTTTTATGAAAAGGCATAAATGATTTCCTTGGGCAGTTGGTGGGCCACTGTGAGAACAGAGTGCTGGACTAGATGGGCCAGGGGTCCAATCCAGCAGGGCATGGCTTATGTTCATATCATATCATATCATATCACGTCACATCATCATATCATATCATATTTCCTTGGCAGTGCTTGAAAAGTCCTGATTAAATGTTCACTATAGAACATTGATGTACCAGATTTGTGTAAGGAAGTCTCATGTTGGTACAACCAACGCTTCTAAGTCTCTTCCTCTTCCCACGCTCCTGCTCTGGACTGTGTTGCCTCTTGTTTCCACCCCTTTCCTTCTGGAATGTGCTCCCTCCTTCCTGAGAACCTGGGGCATGAAGAAACCAGGGTCAGCAACCAGTGGCCACAACAACAACCTCTCCCCCCCTAGGTTGTCCTTTAATGTACCTTCAGGTGAAAACTTCCTGAGAAAGTCCTAGGGAAAGATCATCAATTAAGCCAGATGCTTCCCTCTAGATGTTTCTGAGAAGTCAAGCTTTTAATATTTTATATTATTATTAGAGGCTCACAAGTCTGAATGGTTCTGTACATTAATACATTCTTTGCATAAAGAATACTAAATGGTAGGGAAAGAGAAATTGCTTTGCCTTCTTCCTGTCCCTGATATGCTTGTTTTCTATGTGTGGGGAGAGCAACAAGGCATTAGGTAGGGTCTTACAGAGGTTCAAATTGTCTGCAAAGTTGCCTGACTTTATCCATTTTCTGAAGTAAGAGGGCTTCTGCTCTGCTCCAGGGTCCAGGCTTTGGTCAGTGTACAGGTAGTCCTTGACTTATGGCCACAGTTGGGACTGGAACTTCCATCGCTAAGCGATACAGTCATTAAGTGAGTTGTGCTGAATTTTATGACCTTTTTTGCTGTGGTCATTAAGCGAATCTGGCTTCTCTCATTGACTTTGCTCGTCGGAAGCCCCTGGGAAAGTCACAAATGGCGATCATGTGACCCTGGGACACTGCAACCGTTGTAAATATATGCTGGTTGCCAAGTGCTTGAATTTTGATCACATGACTGCAGGGATGCTGCAATGGCCATAAGTGTGAGGACTGATTGTAAGTCACTTTTTTCAGCACTGTTGTAACTTTGAATGGTTGTTAAACAAATGGTCATAAGTCAAGGGCTACCTGTACATGAGCAAATCAATACAAAATGTCTATCTCCATGCCCCAAATCCAACTGCTCAAAATTATAATAACAAAGTAATCACTAAAACAATGTAGATAGATGTATGCCAAGGTCCTCTGTGGTCCAAAGGCCCATTGAGAGAGATTAGTTGTGAGGTTCTTCCTCAACACAAGGGGGATAGGAACCTGTTGTGCCTCAGGAGGAGCAGGTCCTGCAGAGTGGGCACTGCTAATGAGAAGGTCTGTCTCCTGGTCCAAGCCCCCTAATGCTCCCTCAATGTTCAACCTGGGCTGGCAGAATCACACTCAGCAAAGCGTTCCCCCATCCCGTCTGGTGTTTGCTGTACAGGACTTGATGAATGGTCACTGGCACTTTGGGTTGAGCCCCGAGGCGTCTGGGTAACCAGTGCCCTTACCACAACCCTGGGTTATCTCACAATCACCAGGAACCCAGTTGTCACCTTCTGACTCAGCCGCAGCTTTGGAGTTGTCTTCAAAGGCAGCTTCACACCTGTCACATGGCAGTAGTCCAGAAATGGGGTGATCAAGGCATGTCCCTTGCTAGGGATGTGCAGATTTATTTCTTTCAATCTGGTGTCGCCCAAATCCGAGCATGTTCTGGTGTATGAAACAATCTTGCTTCCTGTTACCGTATCAGCTCCTACGCAGTTTTCCTCCAGATATTTACTTTTCCTCCTGATCCTGTCTTTTAGCCGCACCCCTCCTTTTTAAGGAAGAGCTTAAGGATGTGGAAAAGAAAGAGGGGGAGACAGTAGCTTTGCGCTGCGTCCTCGCCACGCCGGAGGTAACTGTGGCGTGGAGGAAAGGAACAACTCTCCTTCAGGCATGCGAGAAGTATGAGATCAAGCAGGAAGGCCGTGTGGCTGAACTGCTGATTCATCACGCACAGCCAGAGGATGCGGGAAAATACATTTGTGATACGGGAGAGCAGCAGAGCACCGCTCAGATCAAAGTCCACGGTAGGGTGATGGTGGATATGTCCCTCTTCTTCCCTTGACCTTCCCTCTCCTAATTTAACTTTCTTGTTTTCTTTCCTTTTTGCTAAACATTTGTAGCAACCTGTTAGCCCTTCGAGGTAGTCCAGACAAGAAGTACACCCAGGAGTACCAACTCTATCTTTATTGTAAGGTTACCTTAACAGAATTTTGCAGGACTGAAAGTATTTCTCCCTTTCTCTCCTTTTACTCTCTAGAAAACTAGGGAGGGTCCCTTCTGAGATGCTTCTCACGCCCCTTTTCCTTCTGTGGGCTGAGACACGTTTTACATGCCAGTTGTCCAGTCTGCGGCTCTCCCTCCCGTCTCCCAAGCTCATTCCCACAAACCATTACGTGACCCTAAAGCAACAGCTTCTCTTCAAAGTTTCCACGTATTAGGTTGTCAAAACAAGGCAATAAAAATGCAGTAGAGGTTCATATGACATTTATGACTTTAGAAAGTTTGTTGACATTTATTTATGTATTTATTTTTCAAATGTATATAGCCACCCATCCATGTATATGACTCTGGGTGGCTTACAAACAATTAAAACAAACATAAAAGCAATAAAAAAGAACATATATATATGTATGTACACATACACACATACACACACATATATATGTATGTATATACATGTACATACAAAAACCGTAATAAAATATCAACATTCATAGTCAATTTAAAGGAATCTGTTGCTTAGGAAAGATATCTCCACCCAACTGTATTGTAATAACAGCTCCCCTGGGCTATCTGTCTGTGATCTGGGGCTAGAAACAGGGGTGTCTAAACAGTGTGGTCAAAAAAGTCAAGATGGAGGCTGCAGTGGTGTAATTGAAGTTCTACCTGTTTTTTTTTTAATATGTGATGCATTTGCTGATTTGGTCTCATTTATAACATAATGGGGATATAATGCTGGTCAGGGACGTACTTGTGTCCACACACACCCCATATCTCTAACCCTTCATCCTCCAGCTATGCCCATCAGTTTTAAAGACACACTGAAGAACACAGAAGCCGTGGAAGGTGGAGTAGCTTATCTCCGCTGTGAGCTAAATAAACCTGCTCCAGTGGAGTGGATGAAAGGACAGAAAGGTTTACGGCCCAGCAGCAAATACCGAATGAAGAAAGAAGGTGCCGTTGTTGAGTTGGCAATCCATGATCTGGACCTAAAGGATGCTGGAGATTACACCTGCACCTCTGGAGATCAAAAGACAACCGCAGTCTTAACTGTGAATGGTAAAAAAGCCAAACTAAAGCACAGCTTTGCTTATCTTATGGGATCGTTCCTACACCC